GTTTATTCGTACATTTTTGACCTAAGAAACACTTTGCTCTGACAAGAGTCACCCCACTTATGCGTGCTTTTTGATTTTTTTCCCTCCATTTTTTAAAATGTTCAGTGAGAAGTGAAGATGGTGAAACAGGGGCTCCACTGGGATAGACCCGAAGTTGCTTTTGCTGGATGGACTGGAGGCCGGGAAAGACTTCTTGAGCTGGAACTGGACAAGCGAGATTAGGCTTCTGCCGAAAGTCGCAGCGCAGACGCTTGTCGGCGTCGCGACGAAGTTATTTTCTGCATATGGAGCAGAGTGTGATAGTCCGGTTCACACTTCTTGCACGTATCTCCTTTGCGACATACTCCCTGAAATGCTGATGCGCCAGCCAATTTGAGCCGTACCTACTGCGGTGCGAGGACAAGGGGAGCCATGCTTTAATAGTTCTTGAAGGTAGTAAAGGAAGAAATATTCTTAAGTAAAATCAGAAGGCAGTATTGAGGAAGATCGGTGTTTGCCTTTGCCCCCATAGGAACAAATACAAGTTTGTGGATTTGATTTTTGATCGTACTCTGCCAAACCGGCATATTGTCTTCCTTGACCACCACCATATAATTTATCTGGATATTTCTCTGAATTTTGGGCGAATGTCACAAGGACCTTCTCGGTTGCTAGGTCGGAAATGAGAATCAAAAGAATGGTGTTTGAAAAAAAACACACAAACACGCATACATATCCCATCTTAGCTTAATAAGCATTCCGAACTTTCTACAATTCTACAGCTAACTAAAAAAGTAATTTTAAAACATTTTGATAGAGTTACAAGAACCCCTTCAAAAAAACTTCTCCCGTAACAGATGACTGTTGTCGGCTTATATTAATGGTAGATAGAAATTGGTGGCTCAGTGGAAAAAATCGCATCTAATCAACAGGGATGTCCTCTGTTTGGACTTTGGGTTTTAAAGCCTAGTACTCAGATCGACGAAAACTGAACGCCAGTCATGAGAGAGAGCGAGAGGCAAACAGCTGGCGTTCACTTTTCGTCGGGCCTTTTTTTCACGTCGGTCCACAGATCGACGAAAAAAATTTCTGCGGAAATGAACTTTGGGTGAACCCTAGCGGAAAAGATTAAAAATTTTAATCTTTTGGCGTGCGCTTCTCACTGAACATTATAAGAAATGGAAGGAAAAACTCAAAAAACTCGCAAAATTCGCAAAATACTATCTGGGGTGCCTATTGTAAGAGCAAAATGTTTTTTAGGTCCAGAATGTACGAAAACTACAATAAAAGTGCAGCTATGAACTTTAAATTAGCAAATAATTATCAGTAAATTAAAAAAAACAAGAAAGGAAAGCTAACTTCGGGCGGAGCCAAAGTTGATATACCCTTGCAGAATACTCTGTAAATTATATTCTCCAAAATTATTCATATGATGTATTCTTAATACTCATAAAAAGTCCCAACTTCCTAACTTTAAAAACACCAAAGTTATGGCATTTCCGATCGTTCAGTTATATGGCAGCTATAAGATATAGTCGGCCGATTCTCATGAAATTCGGTAGGTCAGATTGATTGACCAAAAATAAAACCTATAGAAAATCTCAACTTCCTAACTTTACAAACACCAAAGTTATGGCATTTCCGATCGTTCAGTTATATGACAGCTATAGGATATAGTCGTCCGATCCCGGCCGTTCCGACTTATATACTGCGTGCAAAGGAAAGAAGGGTGTGTGCAAAGTTTCAATTCGATATCTTTAAAACTGAGAGACTAGTTCGCGTAGAAACAGACAGACGGACAGACAGACGGACAGACGGACATGGCTATATCAACTCAGGAGGTGATCCTGATCAAGAATATATATACTTTATATGGTCGGAGATGTCTCCTTCACTGCGTTGCACACTTTTGACCAAAATTATAATACCCTCTGCAAGGGTATAAAAACTGTTAAATTTAAATTGTATTGTTTTTAGATTTCTTTGTACAGCGGCAGACTTGTCTTGCCAAGGTATTTGCTAATATCTTTTAAAGCCTCTTTCCCGCACTGCTTGTCAACAAAACCAACCGATTGACAGTATGACCATAGCACGCTTAAATCTGATGAATTCTCGAAATTTTGGTCACACTGGAAAGATTAAAGTTTTTACGCTAGCATACTCGTTTGTCGAACTGAGTACTAGGCTTTAGGCATAATTAAATATTATAGCCAGATTCCACTGCAACACATTTTCACTTTCTGAATGTTGAAGGGTGTATCAAGACTAATGCTTTCTTCCCACAGAGCACATCCACCATCCGATAACAGCTGATCTGAACAGCCGTTGCTCATCATTTTAGCCCGTTGCATTATGCACAAAATTTAAAATGAGCAAAGTAGCGTTATAAATGATACTTGGTAACAGACTGCAAGTGATCTACGCGAATAAGCAAATCGGATAAATATGTCTGCCAGGCAGTGCTGCCAGAAACTCCCAAGCAGAAATTGCTAGATTTTGAAAAAAAGTTGCTAGAAATTGCTAAAAATTCGACGAAACTAGCCAAAAAAAATCAGTTAAATTTAATTTTTAAACTAATTATGCATATAAATGATCGCTTGTCGCCATCGCCGAGTGTTTTGCAATGTATAGGTATAGTGCCGCTTCTTGTTCCTCCGTTTTCGTGGACTTATTTTTTTGTGTAACAGCGCCCATCGCAGCGACGTGTTTTTTTGATGCGGCGTGGTGTCGAATCTCGAAAAGTTTCGCGCCTATTGTGGATTTGCAATACGCACAATAGGCCCTGTTAGTGTCCGTGCAGTCCTTGCGAATCCACTCCTTAAGCTCGTCGTAGCTCAGCCAGGCATCCCGAAAATGTTGTTTGTAAATTTTTGGCATCGCTACCGACACAACACAGCACAAAAGTGACCAAAAGTGTTAATATGATTGAACCACTGAGTTAAAAAATAATTCCGATATCTTTGAGAACCATTTTCGATCGTAATTGGTTCAGTAAATTGGAATTGGTATAAAAAAGTTCAAAATTATGAAGAAAAATAACAAAATGTTTAGTTTTGTAATAAAGTTGCTTAAATTTCAAAAACCAAATGAAAAGTTGCTAGATTTGTTGCTAATAGCAAATCGAAAAAAAAAATTGCAAATTTTTTTTAAAGTTGCTAGAAATAGCAACTAAATAGCTAAATTGGCAGCCCTGCTGCCAGCCTGCAAAAAAAATATGAACAGCTATTGCCCAAAATTGTCTATATGGTAACACATATGTTTGTTTCTTTGTTTCATCATAATTTCTTATTTAATTTTAATGTCAAGCATCCTTGAGACAGCCAGCATGCAGCCAAGCTTAATTCAATGGCAAGATCTCGGTCTGCGCTCGCTGCTCCTCCAGCCTTTTTTGAGCGCTATTTCAACAAGCTCGGACTTGTGGTCCACCTTTGCGCGCTTTGCAGGGGGAGCAGAGCTCCCTGAGCGATGATTTTTGCTGCAAAGGCTGCCATGTCATCGGGGTCCACATCTGAGACCTTCACAAAGTATTCCCTAGTACCTGCAATAAATATATTTTATTATTATTATTATATTAATGTGGTTTACACAAATATAAGTCTGGGGACATACTCTCGTTCTGTAAGGTGTTCTGATCCATGTTGTGAGTACGGTATGCGCCTAGGAAAGAGTGGAGCAACTCTTAATGCTGCCACACGGATGGATCAGTTATTAATTAAGCCTAGTACTCAGATTGACGAAAACCGTACACCAGTCATGAGAGAGGGCGAGAGGCAAACAACTGACGTTCACTTCTCGTCCGGCCTTTTTTTCACGTCGGTACTCAGATCAACGAAAAAAATACCAAAAAATTGCATAGCGTTGCCAGTGTGCTGAAATGAACTTTGGGTGAACCCTAGCGAAAAGAATACAAAATTTGAAAATATGGAAGGAAAAAATCAAAAAACGCATAAAAGTTGATTGCAGGAGTTTAAGCCTTGTACTCAGATCGACAAAAACTGTCCGCCAGTCGAGAGGGCGAGAGGCAAACAGCTGTCGTTCACTTTTCGTCAACGTTTTTTTTTCACCTCGGTCCTCAGAGCGACGAAAAAAATACCAGAAAATTGCATAGCGTTGCCAGTCTGCGGAAATGAACTTTGGGTGAACCCTAACGAAAAGATTAAAGCCTAGTACTCAGATCGACAAACGAGTATGCTAGCGTAAAAACTTTAATCTTTCCAGTGTAACCAAAATTTCGAGAGTTCATCAGATTTAAGCGTGCTACGGTCGAACTGTCAATCAGCTGGGTTTGTTGACAAGCGGTTAAAATTCAAATATCGTATTTGCAGGAAAGAGCCATTAAAAGATATTATCAAATACCTTGGCAAGACAAGTCAGCCGCTGTACAAAGAAATTAAAAAACAATACAATCTAAATTTAACAGTTGTTTTTTTTTAATTTACTGATAATTATTTGCAAATTTAAAGTTCATACCTGCACTTTTATTGTGTTTTTTCGTACATTCTTGACCTAAAAAACTTTTTGCTCTGACAAGAGGCACCCCAGATAGTATTAATATTATTTTGATCTCACATGAAGACTCCTGCAATCGACTTTTGCGAGTTTTTTTAGATTTTCCCTCCATTTCTTATAACAACTGTTAAATTTAAATTGTATTGTTTTTTAATTTCTTTGTACAGCGGCAGACTTGTCTTGCCAAGGTAGTTGATAATATCTTTTAAGGGCTCTTTCCCGCAAATACCATATTTGAATTTTAACTGCTTGCCAACAAACCCAGCTGACTGACAGTACGACCGTAGCACGCTTAATTCCGATGAACTTTCGAAATTTTGATCACTTAAAGTTTTTACGCTAGCGTACTCGTTTGACGATCTAAGTACTAGGCTTTAGGTAACAGTTTTCGTTGATGTGAAAACTAGCATTATATTTGCTTATTTCATCGATATACAAAAGTTTAGTATTTTATTCAAACCGTATTCTTAGTCAATTGAATACCCATGCCAAACAACATGAATACCATTATTAATATTTTAGGGCATCTGTTATCGGTTTTATAAAAATTGCTACATTTTTTGGTTTTATTTTGTTTATTTAATATGAAAACTAGATAAACAATAAATTTTTAGACAATACAAATACTTTCTAAAATTTCAAACCGACATTTGTGCATATATACTGCATATACCTTTAAAAGTGTTCGGCATCGGAGCTATAAAACTGATTTGTGTTCTATTATGAATATAACAAATATTATTCCTGAGTAAGTTGCGGTCAATTTCATCACTTTTGTTATATTAATTTTACTAAAAAGCATGCTTTTATGCTAGAACATGTAGATATGGGTTACATATTTGTAGATATGTACATACAAATGTGCGTATGGACTTATAGTAAAAACTTGCTCTAAAAAACAACAATTTCTCCACTTTCAGATCCAAAAAATAGTTTGCTTCAGGAAATACAAAGCTCAGGAAATCAAAAAAAAAATTTACCCAACACATGTGCCTGCATTTATGCATGCACATGAAATGCTTTTATACGACCTGTAACTTAAATCATTCAATGGATCAAAACATTGTAAACATGGCTTACGAACGTTATGGAATACTTCTTCAGAATGAGCAATATGAAGATGATTTAGTAAACTCGAAAGGCGCTCAAAAAATGAATATGCAAAGTATAAGCAATGGTGAGTATGGCTTTCACAAGCGGTGAAATATAAATAAATTAACCGGCTTATACACTGGACACTGTCGCTCAGTTGAATATTCATATGTACATAATTACATTTGTATGTACATATACATATATTCGTATTTACAATATATATTCGTATGTACAAATGTAAATGTAAACAGGAGTCGTTAATGCAAGAAATATATAGCGAATTTAAGCGAAAATATCAAGCTTTTGTTAGCCATACGTATTTTAGATTCATTTAAGTGAAATTAACGCAAAATGTCTTGCTGTTTACAAAAAAACGAATTAGTTGCTTAAGGATTGCCACAAGTTAGTCTCTTGGGAATACTTCTTATCGGTTTATTTAAAAATTACTGGCTTTGCTCGCAAGAAGTGTAAGATTATTATTAATTTTCCGAGTATAATTCAGATGTTGAAAAACCTAGAAAGTTTCCACTGTCCACATACACATGCCAGAAAAAGTATGCGTACAAACATGTCTCGCAACTTTGGATTTTAAAAAAAGATGTTGAAAAAAATCTTAAACTTTTCATTTTTATTTTAGGTAAACAGGTAACACATTTATTCACCTCTCGTTTGATGTAACTCTTTAATTTCTAACACTTATACTTTTCCTGATATTATTTCGCATCAGAAAAAGTATCCGTACAAAAAATAAAAATCAAAAAGAACGGAATTAAAAGCTTTTAAATTGCAGTTTTGGCATTGATACCTGTAAATCAAAGTTTGGCATATTCATGTTGTAAATTAATATGCCAGATTTGATTACAAACAAGTAAACAAACTTTTATTTACAGGTATCAATGCCAAAACTGCAATTATTTTTATGATGTGGAAAAAGATAAAAGAAATTGACCATGATTTGAGAAAAGTCAAAGTAAAACTACGTGATGAAGGGAAAACTATTCGGGAAATTTGTGGGATATTTGGCAGAGCACACTGCTCTGTCCTTGAAAATTTCGATTTATCAGGTTCCTGTGGGTCAAAACCCCGCTCTGGTAGACCACCAAACTTTCTGAGCGTGGGAAGAGAAGCGTTTTGAAGACAATAAAAATAAATTTAAGCCTAACAGCCACCCAAATGGCAATGGATATTAAGGAAAATTATAAGTCATCTTGATGACACTGTTCGCAAAATGAAGACTATAACGGCCGTACTGCCCGGAAGAAACCACTCATATCACAAGTCAACAAAATCAAACGAATGGAATTCTCCAGAAAATTTAATAACAAGCCCCAGGAGTTCCGTAAAAAGATCATTTTTTGCGACGAAAGCAATTTTTGCATATTCGGAACTAAGGGCCGTAAGCTTGTGTGGCAAAAAATGGTACAGCCCTCGACAAACAAAACCGTGCCAAAACCGTTAAGCACGGTGGTGGTGTCGTTATGGTTTGGGGATGTATGGCGGCCAGTGGAGTTGGAAATCTTGTTTTCATTGATTCCACAATGGATCACAAGATGCATATCAACATCCTAAAAGAAATTTTACATCAAAGCGTCACGAAACTGGGACTGGAGGATAACTTTTGGTTCCAACAGTACAACGACCCAAAGCATTATGCCATGAATACGAAGCCTTGGGTAATCTATAATGTGAAAAACCAGTTAAAGTCGCCATCGCAGTCCCCAGATCTCAATCCCATTGAGCTCCCATGGGAGCTCCAGGAGCGCAGGATCCGCCAGCTCACCATTACATCAAAGGATATGGTAAAAAAAGTGATGGTCTAGGAATGGAATAAAATATGGTGGAGGACACAACGAAATTGGTCCAGTCAATGCCAAATCGGTTGGCTGAATTCCTAAAACTAAAGGGGTCCCTGACTTCGTATAAAATTTAAGTCCTTATGCCAGAAATATGGAGTTTCCTTTTGATTTTTGTTTTTGTACTCATACTTTTTCTGATGCGAAATCAGGCCATTTTGCACATTTTTGTTAATATTAGGAAAATAATAAGTGTTAGAAGGGTTAAGTTACATCATACGAAAGGTGAATAAATGTACTATCTATTAAAATAAAAATTAAATTTGTAAGATTTTGTCAACACTTTTTTAATTTAAAAAAATTTGCGGGACATGTTTGAACGCATACTTTTTCTGGCATGTGTATAAGCTTTGTTGTTTTCGACGATATTCTTTATCGCCCTTTCCTGCCTAATCTTTTTGCTTAGAAACCTTTTTTTATCCGCCCGGTAAAAAAAAAGGACGTCTAATCCTATTTATTCTGATTAAGCTTAAAAATGTTGAAATCGATTTTGAACTTTGAAAACTTTTTCTTTTATTCGTAGGCAGAAAAAATTTTAAAAACCCGTAGAAACCAAAATTATGATATAACAGGTTAAATATTTTTCTTAGATTGCCTTCCGGCTCCGGGTCATCGGAATAGTGCCTCTATGTGTTTCAATATAAGTAGATAAATTTCCCTCTTTCTTGTTCATTAGCCTAGTTCGGTATTCTGCTAGGTGTCTTTTTGCGGCTTCATATTCATTGCTTATTGCCCCAGTGTCCAATATTTGTTTTCGCGAATCAATTTCTTTGACACATTCTTTTCTGGTCATTGCATTGGCGAACTAGGGTGTTTGTTTCATAACTTGGTGACCTGTAGCATTTTCAGTCGCTGCCTTTTGCCTCGATGCGGTTCGCCCTTTTATTATACCTTTGCAGAGGGTATTATAATTTCAGTCAAAAGTTTGCAACGCAGTGAAGGAGACATTTCCGACCCTATAAAGTATATATATTATTGATCAGCATCACCAGGAGAGTCGATCTAGCCATGTCCGTCTGTCCGTCCGTCTGTCCGTCCGTCCGTTCGTTTCTACGCAAACTAGTCCCTCAGTTTTAAAGATATCTGCTTGAAACTTTCCCAAAAGTTGTCTTTCTATTGCAGGTAGTATATAAGTCGGAACGAAGCCGGACCGGCGGACTATATCCTATAGCTGCCATATAACTGAACGATCGAAAAGGCCATAACTTTGGTATTTTTAAAGTTAGGAAGTTAGGATTTTTTATGGGTTTTATATCAATCCGACGTACCAAATTTCATAAGGATCGGCCGACTATATCCTATAGCTGCCATATAACTGAACGATTGGAAATGCCAATACTTTGGTGTTTTTAATGTTAGGAAGTTTGGATTTTTTATGAGTATTAAGAATGCATCATATGAATAATATTGAAGAATATAATTTACAGAATATTCTGCAAGGGTATTTCAACTTCGGCTCCGCCCGAAGTTAGCTTTCCTTTCTTGTTTTTTTATTTTTTTTGCCCAACGAGTGATAAGTTTAACTTTTATTTTTTATACCCTTGCAGAGGGTATTTATAATTTCAATCAAAAGTTTGCAACGCAGTGAAGGAGACATTTCGGACCCTATAAAATATATATATTCTTGATCAGCATCACCAGAAGAGTCAAACTAGCCATGTCAGTCTGTCCCTCAGTTTCAAAGCTATCGGCTTGAAACTTTCCCAAATGTTGTTCTATTGCAGGTAGTATATAAGTCGGAACGGGCGACTATATCAAATAGCTTCCATAGGAACAATCGGAAAAAATTTTAATTTTTATACCCTTGCAGAGGGTATTATAATTTTGGTCAAAAGTGTGCAACGCAGTGAAGGAGACATCTCCGACCCTATAAAGTATATATATTCTTGATCAGGATCACCTCCTGAGTTGATATAGCCATGTCCGTCTGTCCGTGTGTCTGTCCGTCTGTCTGTTTCTACGCAAACTAGTCTCTCAGTTTTAAAGCTTCTTCTTTCCTTTGCACGCAGTGTATAAGTCGGAACGGCCGGGATCGGCCGACTATATCCTATAGCTGCCATATAACTGATTGATCGGAAATGCCATTACTTGTAAAGTTAGAAAGTTGGGATTTTCTATGGGTTTTATATTAGGCCAATCAATCTGACCGACCAAATTTCATAAGGATCGGCCGACTATATCGTATAGCCGCCATATAACTGATTGATCGGAAATGCCATAACTTTGGTGTTTGTTAAGTTAGGAAGTTGGGATTTTCTATGGGTTTTATATTTGGACAATCGATTCGACCTACCAAATTTCATAAGGATCGGCCGACTATATCCTATAGCTGCCATGTAACTGAACGATTGGAAATGCCATAACTTTGGTGTTTTTAAAGTTAGGAAGTTTGGATTTTTTATGAGAATTAAGAATGCATCATATGAATAATTTTGGAGATTATAATTTACAGAGTATTCTGCAAGGGTATATCAACTTCGGCTCCGCCCGAAGTTAGCTTTCCTTTCTTGTTTTTAGTAATTTAGTCATAGAAACAGAAATTTAGCCATTTTGTAATAAGCAAACTTCGGCAAGCCGAAGTTGATATACCTTTTCTTGTTAGTTTTAATATTTGGTTCGTTACTAGTTTTCAAGGTTTTTTGATTATTTTATTTTTGGTGGTGTCTCAAAAGTAACTATGTTTGCGTGGTTGTGTGGAAATGTACATTAAAGTTTGTGGGGCTATGCATATCTCACTTTATACTACCACTAAAAAAAATCGCCTGCAAGAATTTAGTGCAGCTGTGAACTTTTAATAACCCAATAATTATGAGTAAATTATAACCTGTTTGTTTTAAATTGTATTGTTTTTATACCCTTGCAGAGGGTATTATAATTTCAGTCAAAAGTTAGCAACGCAGTGAAAGAGACACTTCCGACCCTATATAAAGTATATTTATTCTTGATCAGTCTCACCAGGAGAGTCGATCTAGCCATGTCCCTCTGTCCGTCTGTACATAAGTTTTTTAATTTTTATCGTTTGACAAACAAACCCAAACTGGAAAGACTGCTGGCGAACTTGTTTAGTTCTTTGAAAGTCGACTTTAGCACGGAAAAGGGACATTTGCTAAATGTATTTTTTTTTTGATCAGAAGTTAGAAACGTAGTGAAGAATATATTTCCAAAACTATAAAGTTAATATATTCTTGATCTCACATTCGTCTGTCCGATTTTACGTAACTACCCTAAGTTCTTAGCTACAGTGGCTCAGCGTATTTCGTGTAGACGTAAACTTGAAATGCAAACTCATAGCTGGTAAACTATACGGAATATGAAAAAGATTTAAATGCAGTTATGTTTTGTAGTATTTTAGCATTTATTAAGGCACTTCATTATTGTTAAACTCCATTAGATAACATTTAAACTAAGAAAAACTAAAAATACTAACTTTTTTTATGTCACAGCTTATTTCGTGCAAGGAACTGTTAAATATATTGACTATTAAGTAAGTTAATACTTTATGTGGCTTCCCTTCTGTTCGATGACAGCCTTCAATCGAGTTAGCATCGAATATACCAAATTTTCTGTGGTCTGCTTTGACCACAAATTTTCAATGACGTTAAGGTCTGGTAACTTGTGCAGGTGGATTCACTAGAATGGGATCAAGAATTCAAATTTTAAAGGAAAACTGCTAAAAAACTTGGCATACGCGATCGAAATCGGTATTGACTTTTCTGGAACTGCAATGAAGTGGTCATTACGTTACCACAGTCCACAGACTTGAATATGATCGAATTTAGGGAAATATTGGACCTAGCCATAGGGAAGAGGAAGAAATCTAGCAAAAATGAATTAAAAAGTGTTAACTTTGGAGAAAAGGGGAAAATTTACAGTCGAGTTCACTAAAAAATTAGTTTCTTCCGTGGAAATCGTCTCAGAGGAGTTCTGAACCAGAGAGGAGGACACAAAAACTATTAGCTGTAAAATTAGTAACAAAAAGTTAAGTTGAACGAAATAAGATGTGACATAAAAAGTCAGTATTTTTATTTTTTTTGTTTTTAGTGTAATCTAATGGAGTTTAAATATAATGAAGTGCCTTAATAAATGCCAAAATACTATTAAACATAACTGCATCTATATCTTTTTTATATTCCGAATAGTAGCTAACTAAATGAGTTTTAACTTCAAGTTTACGTCTGCACGAAATAAGCTGTAAGCCACTGTATGTGGGTGATGCATAAGTCTAAACGGGACGATAGAAAAACAAGAAAGGAAAGCTAGCTTCGGGTGGAGCCAAAGTTGATATACCCTTGCAGAATATTCTGTAATAAAATCCATAAAAAATCCCAACTTCCTAACTTTAAAAACACCAAATTTATGGCATTTCCAATCGTTATAGCAGCTATAGGATATAGTCGGCCGAACCCGGCCGTTCCGACTTATATGCTGCGAGCAAAGTTTCAATTCGAAATCTTTAAAACTGAGAGACTAGTTCGCGTCGAAACAGACAGACAGACGGACATGCTTATATAAACTCAAGACGCGACCCTGATCAAGAATATATATATTTTATAGGGTCGGAGATGTCTCCTTCACTGCGTTGCTCACTTTTGACCAAAATTATAATACCCTCTGCAAGGGTATAATGAATAACTTTTTTTTAAAATTAAACAGGAAGGAATTTATACTTGAGTTCGAATTGCAGGCTATCTATATTGTATAGCTGTACCGTTTATAGGGAATCATGACCGAAAAATGCATTTTGGTAATTTTTGAAAATAGTGATTTTATATTGGGCGTCGTAGAAGTTCATCGATGAAAACTGCATATGTGTGTATGACGACCGCGGCTGATTTCTGTGCGGCGCTTAGCCTTTGCTCAGTCGGCAAAAAACTTTCTTTTCTGCTTTAGATAGGGCCGTGTTGATAATACTCTCAAATTTATGAACTCATTTTTTTTCGAAAAAAGTTATACTTTCAGATAGTGTACCTCTTAGTAGTCACGTAAACTTACACAGAAATAAAGTATTTGAATCAGCTATTCAGGCAGAACCGAAAAGTAGTGACAACGAAACAAATTCTAATATACATGGAAAATTTCAATTGAAAGAATCTGAGAATTTATTTGCCTCGAAACCGTAAGTAAACATTTTAAAAATTTTAACATAACTGTATATTAGCATGTATTTATTTTTAGAAGAAAGAATACCAATATTGGATATCAAATGAATATCAACTGTTATAAAAATATCGGCTGTGCGGAAAATCAGGAAATTTCAAAGAACGTGGCCAATAGCCTGCTAAGTAGTTCTGTCGACGGTAATTCACCTTTCCTACCCTCAGATACAACAATACTAAATCCACCTGGAAAGTCAAGGCGGTGGGAACAAAAGCTGGTTCAAATTAAAACTATGGAAGGAGAGTTTAGTGTTACAATGTGGGCTTCCGGAATATCTGATGATGAATACTCGGGGTCGGACCAAAATGTTGGCGAGTCCGAATTTTTGAAGGGAAAAGATTTTGAACGTGTCACGACCCAACAAAACAAGGACTTTGATCAGGTAGAATCTATGTTACAGCAGGAGGTATTTACTCATGAACCACAGACGCTTGAAATGCAGCCACCTATAAGCTCAGTTCCAATCATAGAACCGTTAATAAAAGGGAAAGGAGTTCTGTCTCATGAAAATAATCTTTCCACTCAGATTTTGACTAAATCAACCTTAAGCTTCGAAGATCCAATCTTGATTTCTGATTCCACAAGTATACAGATGGTAAATGAAACTGCCGCCCTGACAATTAATAATCATAGAATATTAAGTAATGACAATACCGGCGATCTTCATACTTCCACTAGCTCGGTGCCATTTGGTCTTCGCTTACAGGAAAGGCAACAAACTGATTGCTTATCACAATTGCCATACAACGACAATACAGGTAAAAACTATATGAATTGATCAATACGAAATTTTTTAAAATTTAATTTTAATATTTAAATTTAGGTTCGAACGGCAGCACGGATCAAGGTTATAATGTATCTGAAGTCACAGTGGCCTATCCTAACGATAAAAAAATTGCTTGTCCTCATAAGGGTTGCCATAAAAATTTTAGAGATTCGTCTGCGATGCGCAAACATTTACACACTCACGGTCCACGTGTTCATGTTTGCGCAGAATGTGGAAAAGCTTTCGTAGAAAGTTCAAAACTCAAAAGACATCAGTTGGTTCACACAGGAGAAAAACCATTTCAGTGTACTTTCGAAGGATGTGGAAAACGATTTTCACTGGATTTTAATTTAAGGTAAAGTTAAACGTCTATTTTAACTAACCTTTAAATAGCTTTTCAAAATTTTCGAAAAACCACAAATATTAAAGTGATATGGCCTGGGTGGGGCAGGGTGCATAAAAGGTCCAAGATGAAGGAAAACAACCATATATGTATTTTTGTATATGTATTACAATTGTAAATACGATGTTAATGGCTATGCACTGTACTCGACTTTTTTAGAATCTTTGTAGATTAAATTATGACATGCAACAACCTTTTGAAGTAGTAGTCCACTATAGAACTTTTTTTTGCTTCATTTGCTGTTCACTCCAACTTTACTGCAATGCGAAATTTTTATAAGCCAAAGGAAAATTATTTTATGCATGCTTAAAAAAAAAAGATACAAAATCCAAAAGTAAAACTTAAAGAATAATCCGGCAATCATGGCTTAGAATTTAAAACAAAAGTCACGGCGATCACAATTTTGTAAATTTCTCCTTTTAAACATACACTAAATTAAATCTTATAAATATTTTTAGGATATTATCGATGGAGACCTTAAAAGCAATTGAATACCAATTTGAATAGAAACATTGTCTAGCCCTCCGATGGAGACCTTGAAAGCAATGAGGCCAACTTTTGAGTACCCTCCACGACTAAGACAAATTATAGCCATAACAAAAAATATCAGCCTATTTCTAAAATACAAAGTAAACCTTTTTTCTTGATTTTATTCTGAACTCGAAAAATGTCATTCTATTTTATACATTCTTTACGTTGCTATTAATTTCTATTTTTACAGAACACATGTACGAATACATACTGGAGATAGACCATTTGTATGTCCGTTTGATGCCTGCAACAAAAAGTTTGCTCAATCCACCAATTTAAAATCTCACATATTAACTCATGCGAAAGCAAAGTAAGTTTTTAAATAATTGTAAATTAAAGGTTTTCAATTAAATTTCGTTTAAGGAGGAATACTACAAGCATTTCGCGCAAAAGTGGTTGTTTAAACCATGAGTCTAACACCCAGAGTGAAGATAATTCTACGAAATTTATTAAGGTTGAGTTACGGGATAGTGTTTCAGAAAACCATGTTCCCTTTGTGGTGTATGCAGACTGAAACCGTGTATTGACCCTATTTCAAGATCTATCTCGATCAAATTTTTGATGTAGATAGAAATCGTGATTCCTAATAAGATTCAGAACTCCTTTTTTGAATTTTCTAAAAAATTAATTAAATCATATTTGAATTCGTCAAATTTGATTAAAATTAGAAAGTAAAATAAAGGGGTGTATATTATATTTATTATAAAAATAATTTTGTAATGTATTTTGTAAACATTAATAAAAATTGGACATATATCAGGTTGTCAAATATCTCCCTTCCGCTTTTTTTGGTTTTTGAATTTGGCGGCTTTGTGCAAAGCGCTACATATCGGTATCGGTTAATGCCGCTTTGTTATCTGCCGCTGTACAAAGAAATTAAAAAACAATACAATTTAAATTTAACAGTTGTTTTTTTTAAATTTACTGATAATAATTTGCTAATTTTAAGTTCATAGATGCAGTTTTATTGTGTTTTTTCGTACATTTTTGACCTAAGAAACATTTTGCTGTGACAAAAGGCACCTCAGATAATATTAATGTTATATTGTCTTCACATGTAAAGTCTAGTACTCAGATCGACAAACGAGTATGCTAGCATAAAAACTTTAATCTTTCCAACTTTAATGTGACCAAAATTTCGAGAGTTCATCAGATTTAAGCGTGCTACGGTCGAACTGTCAATCAGCTGGGTTTGTTGAGAAGCAGTTAAAATTCAAGTATCGTATTTGCAGGAAAGAGCCTTTAAAAGATATTATCAAATACCTTGGCAAGACAAGTCAGCCGCTGTACAAAGAAATTAAAAAACAATACAATCTAAATTTAACAGTTGTTTTTTTTTTAATTTACTGATAATTATTTGCTAATTTAAAACTATAAATGGCAGGAAATGTCCTTATTCTGCAGGCATTACTTAATTTGCTTACATAAGTACGCGAGAATGACTTATAATTGACGGAAGATCGTTAATAAATAATGTAAAAAGTAACGGACCCAGATGGTTCCCTCGTTGGACACCATGGTAACACGGTGAATTTTAGAAATTGAATTTTTAAAAAGCACCCTTTGTGACCTGCTATTCAGATAACCTAAGATCCATCTAAGGAGATCAACTGGGAAACCTAACATGTCACGTTTTTTAACAAGAAGTAAGTGATTTACAGAGTCAAATGCTTTACTAAAGTCAGTGTAAATGACGTCTGTTTGAAAACTACTATTGAAGCTCTCTATCTAAGCTCTAGAAGGTTTGTGATTATGGATCTACGTTTAATAAATCCGTGTTGACACGGATAAATGTTTGATCTATTTACACAAATAAATTCAATCGTATTGAATTCCTCAAAAAATAACTCTTCTGACGGGAGGTTTAAATCAACTCCAGCTAAGACTCCACCTCCCCGTCTAGAGGGACGGTCATACCTGTATATTGTGTACTTACCTAGAAAAACTTCGGAGCTAAAGGTCTCCGGCTTTAACCAGGTTTCTGTAAACACAACAATATGAGATGCAAAGCAAAGGCTATCAGAATACAATTTAGTGAGTTTGCTACGCAAGCCTCTTGCATTCTGAGAGGAAAGAAGGAGGTTAGAAGTTAGTTTTTTGAAATTGGTACAATGGTTTGGCCTCGACTAGGAAGTTTAATTGTGAAAACCACGACGGACAAATCGGAATTCTTAGAAGTCCCAGGTTGCATGCATTCTGCTACGGATTGTTCGGATGTTTGCTGCAATCAGCTGCTGATCCGCCGTAATGCTCTATTGTTCTTTTGATTGCGGTTGCGGGGTGTTCCCCTTTTGCTGCTTACCACGATCGGCTTTTTTGCGCTTACGACTATTAAACTGCGAGATCATCAGCACAGCGAAAACTATCTATAGCAACTCCGAAACAGCTAATCAGCCCCACCAAGCCGCATTTAGTTTGATTTCATCTCGTTTGCAACCTTAACACAAGCATCACAACAGAACTGCAAATTGGTCCTCTGAAAGGTAAACCGGCGCACTTGGTGTGGACCATGTAGTCACACAGCCAGCAAGTCATATTAGATTGGTCAGCCCTAATTACGAGGCTGCATTTTTTGCAAAAGCAGACTAGTGTTACTCATTTTTCCTAGTGAAACCACTGTGCCAAGAAAACGAATTGAAATTTATAAGCGAGCAATTAAAAGTATCGCAAGAGCGCAAAAACTGCATGCTTAGAACTTTCAAAACAAACAGAGCGAGAGAGCGGGACCGGAATTTATATATATATTTAAAAAACTGAATCAAAATGAAAATTGTTTTGATACAACCCGCCGATGGGATTAAACAAACCAAAATACAAAATCGGAGCGCAGAAAAAAAACACGACCGTTCACTTTAAAATTCAAAGACGAATTGTACATTATTAGATTCTCTTTTAACAAATTCGATTGCAGATTAAAATAACTTAGGGATCTTCCTGTGATAGATATGTTATATTCATTATTTTCTTTATCTTCTTCTCACTATTGGTTTCTTGAAAGAGCATCACTACATTGTTTTCTTTACCTGGTAGATACTTTATTTTAAAGTCATATTCATTCAACGGCTCTTATCGCGGAATCGACTGAAGTCGTCGGCTGCAGCGCCACCAATTTACATAAGGGAGAAAGGCTCGAACGCCCTGGTCAACAACATTTTTGAGTTGTTCGGTCCAAATACCTTGAGGAAACTAAGAATAACTAATACACGTACCAACTAAAAAGCAGCAAGGGCTTTCAAGTTGTACTAAAATAAATCGAGCCCGACGTAACCCCCAATGAAGTTATCGATGCCCTCAAAGAAAACGGTTTTTCTGCAAAGAACGTTAGTAACAGCATTATCTGGAATAAAAAGCCGCAACCACTCTTCATGGTAGAGCTGGAGCCAGACGGCAGAGTCTTGAAAAAAAATGAAGTGCATCCCACTTATAGCCTGCAATACCTATTGCACCGAAGAATTAAGGTGGAAGAGCCACATAAAAGGAAATGGCCCAGTGCAATGTTCAAACTGTCAGGGGTATGGACACACCAGGATATACTGCACACTTTGATCTTTCACAATTTCGCTAATAACAAGGAAGACCCCCAAAAGAAGAAATGTGGAAATTACGGAGGAAATCACTCGGCAATCTACAGAGGCTGTGAGGTCTGCAAGGAGTTGAAAAACAGCATGACGAGTGACAACACCGTGCCAGAGAACGAGGCCGGAAGTATTTTTCGGGACGGCTGCAAGATCCTCATTTAATCAGCTAAATACCCAGAAGGGCCCTTCGAAAAGGAACGGAAGACCCACCCACCACACTCTAATCTATGAAACGTTCCCAAAGCACGCTGCAGGCTGTGATGGTTTCTATGCAACAAAGTATAATTTGTGTCCTTTATGTAAACGACCAGAACATGGTGTTACAGTTTCTTGCAGCTAAGCAGTTCAAATAATTGATGTCAAATCTATGTATAACCATGTCGAACGCCAATGGCGTTTCCCGGCACAAACTGGAAATAACTCAGTGGAAATCATATCGACATTATGCTACTGATAGAGACGCACCTATAAATACAACTTCAAAATAAGAGGCTACTTCTACCGCACAGATCATAATTACTTGCATTCCACGTCTATCAAGGTGCAGTCAGATAACGGACACCTTTCCATAGCAAAGGGAAGTTTATGCAAGCCACTAACTCGGGACTGTCCACATCCCCGTGAATAAGTTTAAAAATAAAAGTTGTGCCAAGCACTTTGTCAACTCCGATTGAGTCACATCCAAAACATGGTTTTTGAACGCTTCAACAGCATCTTCTGGCGTCGAAAATCGTTGACCACGCATTTTTCTCTTGATGTGCGGGAATAAAAAGAAGTTATTAAGTGCCAAGTCAGGGCTGTATGGCGGATGACCCATCTTCCACGAACAACTTTCGTTGGATTTGGCTCGTCTTCGAAGACCCACACGGTCGATTGCTGTTTTGTTTCGGGCTCATAAGCATAGATTCATGATTCGTCACCTGTGACGTCTTTTGAAACACCGCGATTGTATTTTTTCAAATTTTTTTTGCACCAATCCACACGAGTCTTTTTTTGAGCGATTGTCAAATTGTGCGGGATCCAACGAGAACAAATTTTTTTTACGACCAAGTGTTCATTCAATATCGAATGTATGCTGGTGGAAGAAATGCCCAAGGATGCTCCTATCTCACGGTATGTCACATGACGATCTTGCATTATCAGTTCATGCACGGCGTCAATGTTCTCTGGAACAACGACTGTTTTTGGACGACCTTCACGACCTTCGTCTTCGAGCGAGCGTCGGCCACGATTGAATTCATTATACAAGTTTTTCACAGTGCTATAAGATGGTGCTCCATCGCCATACAAAGATTTAAGTTCATCGATGCACTCTTGTCGTGTTAATTCACGTCGAAAGCCGTGAAAAATGATTGCGAGAAAATGTTCACGAGTTAATTCCATTTTTCGCCAAATTGATTTTTTCAAGTCATTGTAAACAACACAAATTATGGCCGTATGTCAAAACGTTCTGAGCACGTTTCTGCTAAAACATGTCAAGCTTCCCAATGAAAACGTCAGATGGCGCCAGGCAACACTTAGTATGGCCTAGGCCAGAAATATATATAGCAGCCCTCGTAATGTCCATGCTTAGTAGAGAAAGCTGTTTTTCATCCATTTGTATTTGGTAAAAAATCCTTTGCTAAGTCGTCCATGACGGGTGTTGGGAATTTATCATCTACAGTAATCTCATTGAGACTCCGATAGTCAACAAATAGATGAAATTGTTTTACTATTTCTTGAATCTGGCTTTCTACCTCTTGCATCATTGTGCTCAGTGTGAATTTCTTGTTTTATAATAATATGGAAAGTCAAATAGTCACTTTCCTTGTACTGTAAATCACTGAATTCTTGTATAACTTTTATAAGCTTTTGGGTCTCTTCTACATCTGCACAGATGTTCTAGCCTGAACTCATTGCTTTCTTTTAATTCACTCTCAATGGAGAAACTAAAATCGCTAGAGGATTGCAACAATCTTTTTGTTCGTCGACTTGATTTGTTTTGAAATGGTCATGATCATACCTCACTTTGACCGAATAACCAGTGAAGTGATATGTAATCAATGATGGCATTACATGCTTCTAGGTAATCTCTACCTATCAACATATCGTGATTTTCTGAGAAATTATGAATTATGCATCTTTTAATTGGATAACACAATTTGTTAAACGGGTTTCTTTTATTAAATTTATAGAACTTCCCGTGTCAATTACACACTTCAAGAAGCGGTGATGAACGGATTTCTTAATTTTCTTTTTCCTTTTCCGACTCTGAAAATTTTCTATCTTTATCCTAGACTGCCCACTAGAGCTGTCCCTTCGCCTTTTCATGGGTGGATTTGGGGTTTTGTATACAGTATTTCTTAGTGATTATTATTTAATTGGTTATTAGACCTGCTTTGTCGCGGATAAATCATTGGATTTTGGGCCCTACCTTGATTTAAACTCTGCAAAAACTCAGGATATTGTTGCTGTATTTGACTGCTTCTCTTGCTGCCAATTATTATGATTTTTTTAATTATTTGAAGTACTTGGGCTCGTACCTGTTGTGGCAGCTGACAGTTGACAATTCCAGCGTGGATTCACATAAAAGGCACTTGCCTAATCTGGCAAGTTGTTGTTACAGTTTTGTATGTTCTGTTGCGATCACTCTGCGATAGAAGGCTACAAATTATACATTTATTTCCACGGTTGCTGATTAGCCTAGACGTAGAGAGTAAAACAGGTACGTACTCTAGTTTTCGGATTTTTACACGTGATTCTTTTGGAGATATGCCTATGTTAAGTGATTATTACTCGCGTTTTTTAATTATATTTGCTGCAATTGCATTAGCGAAATATTTTACCCGATTATTAGGATTCTCAATTAATCCCTTAACTGTTTTTAAGATCATCGTACCGGCTGCGCCAATTAAATATTTTTAAATTGTGTGTGGAAAGCTTTGCGAGCTTTCGAGAACAAAAAAAAGTTCTTTGGGGAAGATTGGACTTTGCATTAGCCGAAATTTGAAGAGGTCAGCAGTTTTGGGCTGTTGGAAACAAGGGTGAAATGTTTGGGTTATTGGTGATTTGTCATATCCGTTGGCACCAGCAGGGTTTGGATTACATTTCCTTATGTCTAACTGCTTGGTATTTTGAAGGTGAAAATGTTTACAATATGTTTTGGATCGTGGGAGTGGTCAAGTGGTTAGGGTTTATTGTTTACATTTGGTGTCTGGGGTGTTAGGTTCTCGGACCGATTGTGCGTTGGCTTAGCACAAGATCTGAATATGTTATTATGTTATACATCTAAAAAGTCTCCCTCACTGCGTTGCAAACATTTCCCAGCATAAAACCAATTCTAGCCTACGCTGTAACCGGGCCCTAAATTTAATTAAACAAAATTCGAGTATTTAAAATTGTTTTTATTAATAAACATATAATGTGTACATTTTAATTGATGATTAACTGTTTGTGGCATCACAAACCGCTGCGAGGTCTTTCCGAATTCCTCAATTTTCTTTATTTTGGGGACGGCTTGATCGAAAATAGTTTTTTTGTACATTGATATTATACATTTCCTTTGATAGCATTGCATTGCTTGCCTTTAACGAAAAATATAAGTGTTTTGTTATTCATTTTTATTATTTAAATTTATTTACAAGGCAAAAATATAAATAATAAAAATTAAAAAAAAAAGTTTGCAAAGCAGTGAACGTATATTAGTATATTAGATGTGTTTGCAGGTCAAAAATATCTCTAAGGTATACCTATAATAGTGCTAAAGATCGGAAACCCAAATTAATTAATTTCAATATTTTTACAGAGTTTACAGAACGCATTTGTTTCGATGTGCTTTCAAATTAAATCAGATTTAGTTAGCAATATCAAACCCACACAACGAACGGATTCATTAGAAAGAAGGGTGGCCGATGTTTATATAACCCTTGAGATATACAAAAATGTTTAGTTTTATACTACTTTATATAGAATTGTATATGTATTTGCTTATGTTGATTTTTGTCGTTAAATTTTGAAATAAATGTGTAAATTTTCGTAATTTTTATACCCTGGCAGAGGGTATTATAATTTTGGTCAAAAGTGTGCAACGCAGTGAAGGAGACATCTCCGACCCTACAAAGTATATATATTCTTGATCAGGATCACCTCCTGAGTTTATATAGCCATGTCCGTCTGTCTGTTTCTACGCGAACTAGTCTCTCAGTTTTAAAGATATCGAATTTAAACTTGGCACACACCCTTCTTTCCTTTGCACGCAGTATATATGTCGGTACTGACTATAACCTATAGCTGCCATATAACTGATTGATCGGAAATGCAATAACTTTGGTGTTTGTAAAGTTAGAAAGCTGGGATTTCCTATGGGTTTTATATTTGGCCAATCAATCCGACCTACCAAATTTCATAAGGATCGGCCGGCTATATCCTATAGCTGCCATATAACTGATTGATCGGAAATGCCATAACTTTGGTGTTTGTGAAGTTAGGAAGCTGGGATTTCCTAAGGGTTTTATATTTGGCCAATCAATAACATACCAAATTTCATAAGGATCGGCCGACTATATTCTATAGCTGCCATATATCTGAACGATTGGAAATGCCATAACTTTGGTGTTTTTAATGTTAGGAAGTTGGGATTTTTATGAGTGTTAAGAATGCATCATATAAATAATTTTGGATAATATAATTTACAGAATATTCTGCAAAGGTATTTCAACTTCGGCTCCGCTCGAAATTAGCTTTAGCATTCTTAATACTCATAAAAAATCCCAACTTCCTAACTTTAAAAACACCAAAGTTATGGCATTTTCAATCGTTCGGTTATATGGCAGCTATAGGATATAGTCGGCCGATCCATATGAAATTTGGTAGGTCGGATTGATTGGCCAAATATAAAACCCTTAGGAAATCCCAGCTTCCTAACTTCACAAACACCAAAGTTATGGCATTTCCGATCAATCAGTTATATGGCAGCTATAGGATATAATCGGCCGATCCCGGCCGTTCCGACATATATACTGCGTGCAAAGGAAAGAAGGTTGTGTGCAAAGTTTCAATTCGATATCTTTAAAACTGAGAGACTAGTTTGCGTAGAAACAGACAGACGGACAGACAGACGGACATGGCTATATCAACTCAGGAGGTGATCCTGATCAAGAATATATATACTTTATAGGGTCGGAGATGTCTCCTTCACTACGTTGCACACTTTTGACCAAAATTATAATACCCTCTGAAAGGGTATAAAAAGGGAATATGCTTTGAAACTGCAAGGCCGTTGTTGTTAAACTCTTCCTTCAGACGGATTCCCTGGGCAATTCCAAATCCATTCGATTCCTTTGCTTGATACCAACTTGATTTTTTCCGGTTCAACACGTCAGCTTATGTCTAAGCGAAATTCGTGATCGCTATTATACAGGAATCAGTCGACAAGTCATGCACCGCTTCTTGAAGTATCTCGATTTTCGTCAAGCACATTTACTGGGCTACCCATCACTTCTCCTTGAGACGAGCCATGGTCACAATCGGTGGCCCAAAAGAATCCATTTGAGTGTGCTTGATAGGCCATCCGTCGACCATAATTGGCAAACAGTTGGTGAAGGGCCGCATCGATAGACGCCCATCAACAACCACTTTCGCTAAATCCGTCAACCACGCACTAAAATCCACCATGGTTAAAGCAAGTTTGACCATCGCAATAAGCCTTGCCCACTCCAATCGTTTACTGGTAGGGAGCTTGGCCAAACGGTATTCCATTGCGGTTGGATTCTATTAATGCTGATCTGCTACTTTTTAGCAGTAACGGCTAAATTAAATTTTCTATCGTTTCTATGAAAGCTTTATGAGCAACCCTGCCTGGTCCGACTTATATACTATCTGCAAGAGAAATTTAACTTTTGGGAAAGATTTATCCAGATAGTTTAAAAACATAGAGTCTAGTTCGTGTTTCTAAACGGACAAACTCTTTTACTGCATTGCAAACTTTTGACTGAAATTATAATACCCTCCGCAAGGTCTTAATAATTCAAATTAAATACTTACTTTTTTTTCAGTTTCCTTAGCATCAAGACGAATGTTTTGGTTTATAAGTTTATAGTTAGTACTATCGATCACTGAACTATGAATTCGATTAAGTCCTGATTTTACAGAAGCCGGGGGAAGTTTTAATGAGTCGATCTCTGGGATTCTCCACATTTTAAGGTCATCATTCCATGAAGAGTTTTGCATAATAGTATCCGGTGTCCTAGATTAATAAAAAAAATGTTGTGTATAATTAAATAAAAACAAAGTCGGCTCGACCAAAATCCGTGGTTCCACTAAAAAAAACTATTATTTCATTTTTAGCTTTCTCTTAAAAAACGTAATACCAACCTACTTCTTTCCCCCGTCTGAGGAGTCATTTTTTAAGGAATTCAATACCATTGAATTTATTTGAGTTGAGTTATCGTTGGTAACTATATATACATAACTTTCTCATATATTCCCCTGTTGTCTGCACCTCCTATTTATTCAAACCACCTTTCCGTTATCAAGTCTGTTTCAAATAAGCATTCCAATTTGAATTAGTTGGTAGTTCTAGGAGATTTGGACATACCCGGCGTTACGTGGTCCACGGAAGATGGATCGAAAGTCTTACTATTTATAGCACAATGATGGCTTACTGGACATATCTTTACTTTAATTGTGTTATGTATTAATTCCCGAACTTCGGTGTAGGCTCATGAGCTACGATTGCACCGTTCCTTGGTGGTCTCGTTATTTCACTCCTCCAGCTCACGTGATCGGGTCCAATGTCAATTAATTTGCGTTCTCTTTGAGCGGGTCTATCGGTGGCCTTGCCTTGTGAGTGTTCAACGTCCAGCGCGGTACCGTGAGTTAACGGTTTCTCCATTTTGCGTGGGCCCAAGGTTTGTTTGATTCCCGTTTAATTTGGATGCCCATGACTCCTCCGGCAATCTTTCCTCCTTTGCTGTTGCAGGCCGCTCTCCTTCGTCGGGAGTATTCGTCCCCCTTTATTCGGAATCGTGATGAAAGTGCGGAATAAGCCTTGATGTTCGACCATTCGAATTTTATAACCCGACTTGTATTCCCCGTAATTCCCAGAAACCTTTTGAATTTTTTTCAAAAAATTTATTCAACGCTCTGCTTGTAAATCGCACCCCATTGTCGGAAATCAACCCCTTTGGTACGCCGTATCTTGCGAGGATTCCCTCCCAGATCGCTTTTTCCATCGTTACCATGGAATCATTCTCCCGGATGCCTGAAGATGGCTAGTCTTGTACTTCAGGCAGCTGTCAGAATGCCACATACACTTCCTAATGTCGCGGTGCATGCCCGGCCAATCGTACCTTGCTGAAACCCTCTATAATTACTGGCCTTTAACTTGTTAACTTTTTTGTGAAGAGGAATTACAAATGATTCCTTTCGACTATGGGGAAATTGGGAAGCCCTGTACAAACCTGTTCAGAAATTATTCACTTTATGTCTGCTAACTTCCCTATTTTTCCTCTTCACAAGAAAGTTAACAAGTTATAGGCCAGTAGTTATATAGGTACACCTGTTAAAGTTTCCAGCCTCCTTATATGTATCTTAAGTTATCTGAGTGGCAGGACAAAAAGTAGAATAAACGTTCTGCCTTTTGCTTTACGGCGCCCAAACTGTGATGTAAATCTTGCTTGAGCCTTTCAGAGTATAATGCTCCGACTTTTTCCTATAATCTCAAATCTTGACTTCCAGCCGCTCTTAAAACGATTAATACTTACTTCATTAGCACGAATTTAGACATTACATTTTTGTTCATATCTCACGTCTATTTTATCGCGAATCGTGCCGAACGTCACAAGGCTGCTTTCGTAAGGCAAACTTTCATCGCTTAAATACTTTTATACCCAGCATTGTCTGGTCCGAACTTGAGGCCATTAATATCTTTTATAATGCGTTGAACTCATTCCTTTATATGTGTGTTCCGTTTAATTATTCAATAAATTTCCATGGTTAAATAAAAAGTGTTAAGTCCAGACCTTACAAATAGTAAAGCGTAAAACAATGTAAAACGATCTGCCTTTTTCCGATACCTTAGTATTAAACTCATTGTACGTCCAGTTTCAAAAAAACAAAATTTTGTTAAAACTTAGCGTAAGTCAGCCTCTTAACCAGCATCGCTATCATTTAAAAATTCCAGCGCTTATACTGATCAGGCAGTTGCCGATCTATTTGACCAGTTTTTCTAGACAACATATTCAGTTTTGTCCAAGTTAAACTTAAATTTTTGTCCGAGTTTAAGCAAAAGCTTCCGTATCTTGGATCTCCAAAAAGTAAAATCCAGTCTAGTCTACACGAAGTCTCAGTCTGCCTTCTTAGATATCAGGCAGTATCCTCTGGACAAACTGTTTACTTTATCATTGGAAATTCTCAATTCCCACTTATTTGGAAGGATTGATTTGTTATTCCCCTTCAAAAGAAAGTAAATAAATCAAATGTAAGCAATTACAGAGGTATATCCAAATTGTTTCAAAGCTTTTTAAAAACGTTATTACACCCCACTTTCAACATCTTTGTTTTTCAATTATAAGGCAAAGGTCTACGACGACAAACCTCTTGGAAGTAACGTATTTTTTAATAAATGACTTTAGAAATAACATTCAAACTGCATAGTTTACACATCTATCTCTAATTCGATCTGAGTTACCTCAGGCGTCCCACAAGGGACCACCCTTTGTCCCTTCCCTTTCCATCATCGAGTGCCTCGACTATTAGATACCCGTTACTCAGCTAAACAACTTAATATAAATATGCCTTCTTGTGTTTTTTTTGTTTTTTTTTTAACATAATGTGAATTATAATGACCACAGGAAAAAGGACAAAAAGTTCAAATTATCAATTTGAATTCGGCGATCTCTTAGTGCTGGCAGCTTCACAGCACGAGCATCAGCACCAGCGCTGCTTTAGCGCAGGCAGCTCTTGTCCTGCACCAGCAGCTGTGTTTAGGTTTATGTTTTTGAGTGCAATAAATTGACTAGAAATATTAAACATACATACTTATATTGGCTAAACACATACATTCTTAAATAGTATTATGTATATTAAAGTCTAAATGTTTGCACAACACGAGTAACGGGTATAGTGAATAGCTTTCTTTGAAAGGAGTTATCTTTGCCGGGCAATTGCAACTGTGTACAATGTAAACACATACATATGCATGTATATGCTTACATACATACACACATACGCCATTGTTTGACTCAGACCTCCAATTTGGCTAACTAGATTTGATTTGCATAGTTCTTGGGATATAGTTCGGTATTGCCAAATGAAAACCATCGCAATTTCCTTTAATAGAAATCCTTATCGAGAATTAACGTAGGCTAGTGATCCTGAACAAGAATATGTAAATTAATTATTTCCTTATTCAGGTTTTTACTTAAGACGCGCGGTACTGCGCGAATGAGAAGACTTAGGTTTCGGGAGGCGATGACCGTCACGATTTATTTCCAAAATTCAACTAAATACTAAGTACATAAATTCTTATAATGAAAGCTAGCCCTATGCCCTGAAAGTGCTGACCCGGCGCCCCGTGTGTGGTGTTGGGTAGCCGTCGGTTGCGTCGCAGTGCATTGCCCGCTGATAGCGCTGACCGAAGCTTGGGCTTCTGCTACCGTCGTTGTGCAATATCCGCAGGTGTCGCTGGCTTTGCATTATTCTCATGCCGGCTACGCGTGATCAGTTTGGCAACTTCTCTGTTGCCGGGTGACCGTGTTAACTCCTCCCCCGCTTAGATGAAGGACGTCCTCGGACTTCTTGAAACCGTCAATAATAACTTGGTGGTCATGCTGGCGACGAACTCACTGGCGTCTTTGGTAGAGCTTGAAAATGATAAAGCAGATGGCGAAGAAAGCGATCGCGGCCACTCCAGATATTTTAGGCCGGTTTTCCAGTCTCTTTTCCATTTCGCCAATGTATCGTAGGTTTTCTATGTTTAATTTCTGTAAGTATGGTAAACTCAGTATTTCCTGATGGTCTGTAATGTTAAGGACCGTTGATGCAGCGGGTGCTGGGAATTTTTTTACGTAGCTCTTCATGTTTCGGTATAAGGTGTTGTTTACTTTTACCTCCTCGTCGAATGTAACGAGGAACGTTCCAGTTACCAGTTGTCCATTGACCGTAGCTGTTCCGTCATTGAGAATAATAACGCCGTCATCGATGATTGTTAGTGGCTCGAGGTGGCTGGTGCGAGTCGAACAGTGTGCGTTACCTCCTGAGTGGAGTTGTTGGGCGCATGTTGCATAGGGCAGTTCTCTGCAGAATGTTGTCGTAAGGGCAGCGCTGCAGTTTCCAATCGGCATGATTTTGTTACCGCAGTCAGCTATACTATCGCCTTCAGCAAAATTAAGAATAGTGCCGTTGTGTTCAACGGGGTGCAAGATTATTTTCTTACAAGCTATTTAGGGCTTTGGATATTTTAATATAAAGTGTAAAAAGTTATTATTTAATAAAACTTTAATTTGAGCTACTTCCATTAGATCGGTTGTAGTAACATTTGTGGAATGTTGATTGATTAAATTTTGTAAGTCATTTGAGTCTAAAATCGCGGGATTGATTATTCCAATTTTTGCAAGAGTAACCGACAACATTAAGGCCTCGAGTTCGGAAATAATAATTATATTTCTTGATAGCAAGTTCTCATATAAATTTTCTGTATTTATCTGTTTGGCTTTTGCATTTTTTACTAAAATGTTTACCGTGTTCGTTAGGATGTTTATTTGTTCCTGGGTCTTTGTGTTAATGTTTATTTGTCTACCTACTGATTCTATGAGTTCTTTCTGCCTAAATTTAATGTTCTCAAAGTCATCAAAATCTGGAGTACCGGCTACGATTTTTAATGCGGTGCCTAATAAATTTATGCTTCTAGCGTGTCTATGATGAACATTTACGGTATCTATGAGAGTCTTAATGTGTCGTAAATCTGAGTCTAATATCTGCCTCATATGTGACTGGGGGAAATGGTTTCTCATTTCTTCTGTTTCTTTAACTATTTCCGAGTACATGGTTAAGTTGGTTGAGTGTTTGAGGTATTGGAAGTCTCTCCAAATAGTCACATGCCCGTCTATGATTGGTATGTAATTTGAGGTCGTGTAGTCGGTCATTTTAGCTGCTATTGGTACGGCGAGGAGTAGAATCATCCAAATCCTAGTGTGTCGAAGATAAAAATAAAAAGAAAAATAAGATTTATTGCAATTACCTCAA